ATATATAATGTAATAATGAAGAGAAGGTCATGAATTTGGAGGGGGCAAAAAATTGGGGGCAGAGAAGAAGAGGTAAAAATGTTGCAATACAATACTACATATATAATTAAAAGAAATTGAATTTGTAAAGCTTTTGTTTGAATATAATAAGTGCTATTGTTATTAACTTGTATAAAGATCACTAGAAAAGCAGAAAAAATGAATACACAATTCAACCTATTATATTTTCTTCCTCTAAAGAACAAAGTAATTCATAGTCCTAATGAAAATCATTGTTCATGATATTACTTCAGCTTATTTCAAAAGGGAACCATACATTTTTACAGCTAAAGTTAGTCAATATTTAAAATTCTACACAAAATAAACATTATTACTGTGACTTGAAAGATAAATCACACTGAATGCCTCCTGAAAATCTCTTCTTAACCTACTGCCATTGAATGCTGGGTTAGAACAAGACAGATTGCGAACTAAAGATCTGTAGTTCTCCAGTGATCAGTCAGAAGATCCATTTAATTGCTTTGAAAAACAGAACAACTCAGGTGCTTTTCAAGAGACAGTGTGGTGTTTCAGATACGGTCGACAGCGCTGCACGTGCTAGTGACTACCTGTGGGATAGTAACCCATACTATTTTGTTGGGCATAACCCATATTAAAAAAAAAAAAAACCTCACACTTTTGCTTAGGGACATAAAAGAAGACTTGATAAAGAGATATGGAGCATAAGACAATATCATAATTTATAAACTTAAGGTGATTGTTACATGACGGCTATTTGATCAAGAATATTAAAGTTCACTTGAGATAATAAATGAGAGGATGGAACAAAAATATTAGAAGAATAATAGATACTAGAAATATGGATATTTATGTATATAATAAAGCTATAATTAAAATAATGGAATGCTGGTATAAAGTTCAGCAGTATGTCAATGCAGTAGAATATAAATCTCATAAATAACAGTGCATTCATATTAGGAATTTTAGGAAAGAGAGAGCAATGTCATAAGTAAAGTTAATGATTGAATAATTCTTTATATTGTATTTCATATAAGTTCCAAATAGAGATATGTAAAAATAAAATAACATTAACTTTAGAAAGGAACCAGGAGAATCTACTAGTGGCTATCTGATCTTGGTTGATAAATGAAAGTAAACACTTTCTATAAAAAAAATCCAAAGAAGAAATAAAAAATTGTTAAATTTGACTATAATAAAGTTTTTACAGGAAGATTAAAATTAGAAACAAAAAGCAAAGACCAATTAGGATATGAACTGTAACAAACAGATAGAAGTAATATCTTTAGAGTATAAAGTCCCTGTTAAAAGAAAAATAAATAATGCATGATCTAACTCATGTAGGGGAGTAGATTCCACGGATATAGATAATTCAAGAGTGGTTAGCAGAGGTGAGAGGGTGTAGGGGCGAGGCAGGGTGTGGAGAGATTGGTCAGGCACGGCTAGGTTACAATGAAACAGAGTGATATCCGGTGGTGTGTTGCACAGCATGATGACAGTGGGAGATAACACGCTCCTTATTTCAAAGTAGTTAGAGGAGTGGATTTTCAATATCCTTGTCTCAAGGAAGTAACCAGTGTTGGGAGTGCTGACACTACATATAGTGATTTGAGCATTATCTACTATATACACATATAGAAACTTCATAGTTCACCCCTAAATTATCATGTGTCAACTGAAATTTTAAAAAAATCAGGAAAAGGATATAAATGTGCAATTCCCATTTGTTTTCATCTTGAATATACCATAACTTTTTATTCAATGTAAATATTCACGTATCTGATAAATGCTAATGTGCAGAGGGCCTCCTGTTTTGAGGATCCTTGTTGCCCCATCTAATCATCTCTCTGATCATCTTGCCTCATATTCCCAGTTACATCTGAGAAAGTCAATATTTATGAGAAAGTCAATATTTACACACCCCCCAGCATCTCATTCTCATACATCCCAGCTTTTGACCACTAGAACCTCATGACCCTCGATTCACCCATGGTTCAAACTTTTTATTATCCTCCACTCCCTGCCTGGTCTGATTCTCTCGTGCCTAGTTCAAATTCCACGGTTACTTGCTTTCATCTCTCCCTACTGTATACCATCAATCTCCTTTTGATATATTTGTGTGTTTGAGTACTCACTTGCCAAAGCCAGGACATTGTTTAAACCCACTCCTCTACTATTCTGTGTCTTTGCTCGAAAGTCTGCACTTGGCTGGGGAAACTCCATAATTGTAAGGACTGATCTGACTATACTCAGCTCCCCTATGGATACTGGAATGGTCTGTGTTATGGTTCCTCAAAGACCCAGGTGTTGAAGATTTGCTTGCTGGCCTCTAGTGCCCTTGGGAGATGGTGGAATCTTTAGTAGATGGGGCCTCATAGAATAAAAAGTCAGGTCATTGAAGATGTGACCTTGAAGAGAATATTGGGATCCTAGCCCTTCTTGTTTCTCTCTATTTGATTTCTGGCTACCATATGCTTTTGCATATTATGCACCCTCTCCAGACCCCAAGAAGCAATGGTGCCATTCCGTGAGACCCAAATGGGAAAAATCTACTTTACAAGTTAATGGGAGACCAAAACAGGAAAACTATATCTTGCAGGTGAAGAGTTCTGTTTGCAGTTAAGATAGTTCCTGTTTGTCCTGTGCAAGTTAAGGATTCTGCCTGTAATTAAAAAGTTGCGTTTTGTTCTGTGCAGGTTAAGGTTTCCATTTGTAGTGTCCTGTGTTCAGTAAGTCCTTGCAAGATTTCTATTTGTAATTAAGAGTAAGTTCTTGTTTCTTAGAGCTGATGTAAACTGCTTGCAACCCCATTTACATGATGTATATCCATACCCTTGTTCCTTCATTATATCGTTTTAACAATGTATGACAGCCAGCTCTCTAATCTCTGTGAACACCTTATCTCTCCTATAAAAGGGACTTCGAGGGGTCAGCAGGGGCTGCTCTCTCAAATCCTGACTTACAGACAGCTGGCTGGCCAGTCCTGGGTGCACCCCCAAATACAGCTTGCTTTAACTGGACATTCATGGATTTGGTCCTTTCTCCTTGTGATTCCCAGACTTAAGAATTCCTCTATGGCCTCTTCAGTCTCTGCCTCCAGGTTTCTGCCCTGATTGCTTGACGATGTTGTGTGATGTGGAAGTGTAAGCCAAATAAGCCCCTTCATTCCTCCAAGTTGCTTTTGCTGAGCATATTTTATCACAGCAACAAAAAGCAAGCTAGAATGTTAGATGATGCTGGAGCTTATCTCAATCTCTTACACCCCTGGTAGCTAAGAGCATAGACAGTACTATCCCTCCTCCAGTGGCCACATGGAGCAGCACTGCTTGGTGTCTGGGGTCACTTTTTTTTTTTACCCTATCCCCACTTCTCAGACCTCATCTCTAAGAATTCTGCATTCACACATTCACCTTCCTAGTATCCCTCGAGGTGGTGGCCTATCTCAGGGTCTTTACACTTGTTGTTTCTGCATCATGAATTGTTCCTTCTTCAAACTTATTAGGACATGGCTAACTCACTTCCCTTAAGTCATTGTTCAGTTCTTGCTTTCTTGGATATCATATGATTGATGTTGTCCCCCTCCCCCACTCAAGCATGCATGATACTGTTCAACCTGTTCTACTTTCAATTTCTTTCTGTAATATCTTTGGATAACTGTTTATATAGATATATCATGCATTCCCCATTAGTTCCTGTATCCCTCCCTAGAAAACAAGTCCCATGATTACAAAAGCTTCACTTGCTTTGCCCCCTTATACTTCATAAACATAAAGCACTTATTGGCATAATAGTAGGTAAATACACAGTTTTGAATATTGAGCAAGTACACCATGGTGCTTACCTTTACACCAGGAAATCCTTCCAGTCCTGGCAAGCCCATTGCACCAGGCTCTCCCTGTAAAATAGGAAAATGAAACATGCAGAAGCAATGACCAAAGGTTTATAAGAAATGACTTAAAGTCAAGGTCTTTATTTCCCATGTCCCTCAACACTGATTTCAAACTTGGCTCATGAGTAGTACCCTCTATTTTCAAGCATTAGGTATATGAAAATAGCTTGGGAATTAAAGCTATTCTCCAGGCATGAGTCCATTTTCTGATTAATTATTTTTATTCTGGTTAAAAATCTAATCAGGATGAATCCCTGTAGCATGTTAATAACTCCAATTTCAGTTAGAATTAGAATGAAAAACAGATTTTAATAAAGTTTGCCAATTTGTGAGACACCTGGGGCTGCTAGCTTACAATATAATAAGATTGAACTCTTTAGGAGTGAATAAAGCCGGAGCTCTCAAAGCAGAATGTAGCATCCTTCACATGGATTGTAAATGCTTGGGAAGAGTGCAACATCCTTCACATGGATTTGTAAATGTTTGGGAAGAGTGCAGCATCCTTCACATGGTTTTGTAAATGCTTGGGAAGATAACCGCAGGAGTGGCACCTTCAATAATTTAAGCCATTGCTCAAGGTGACAGGTACTGAAAGGGGACAGAGCAGCATTAAAAAAACAAAGCAACAACGACAAAATCTTTATATATTCTATTGCATGGTCCCAGACTGTAGGTCTTCAAGTAACAATTGGAAAAAAAAAATCTATGTTGAAAAATGCTGATGATTTGAACAAATAAACATTTTGATCAAGAAAGGTATAGAGTGGGTCCAGAGAGAGGCTCAGCAGTTGGTTGCTCTTGCAGAAGATGGGGGTTCAGTTCCCAGCACCTACAAGTACCTCACTCCAGTTCCAGGCGATCTGATGCCCTCTTCTGGACTCTTATGGGTACAGCATGCATGTGATGCATATACATACCCAGGCAAACAAAGTACAGAAACATAAACAGATAGTGATAATTTTTTTGTAAATTAATTACTGCTAACTGAAAATGTTTTCTTAGGACACTAGATGCTTTAAAGATCACAATGCTGGCTCATGTGATGGGGCTTGCAAGAGGCACAGTAGGTGGATGTCGGATCACTGGGTTCCAGGCTAGCCTGGTCTACAAGTGAGACCTTGTCTACAAATAAACAGCAAACAAAAAAAGCAAGCTTTCAAACTGTATTCTCTGTAGATGTATTTTTGCATACAAAAATACAATTCTGATTGGAAATATTTCCAAAGCTGTAACTACCATCATTGTTGTTACTGCACACACCTCTCAAGTGAGCGTACAACTTGGTATGTTTTATGTTTCAGAAATCTTTTTCAGTACTCACTAGTATATAACAATGCTTACTATCAATCACAAGAATAAGAAAAAAAAGTGTTTGGATTCTATTTTGTGTAAGTCTGTGGGAAGGTGGCCCCGAGTTATCAATGCATAGAATATGTCCTGGTATCAAGCTGTCTCCTTGTTTACACTTTCAGTGGCCTTTCCTTACAACAGAAGATGTAATTGATTAGTTAATCAGTATTTGTTTGAGAATAGACAATAATTAAATATTTAATTGAAATCACTTAGGTGTTGAAGAGCTAAAGAAAAAATTGTTCTGCATCAGGAACAAGTCAATTAGTATATCCAGCTGAAAGTAATTTTTTTCCTCTATTGAGGTTTATTCAGGAGAATATTATTGCCACGTGTTGCATCTTGAATCTTAAATATCTTCCCAAAGTGCATGAGTTTAAGGGCTGATCTGCAATGTAGCTGCACACAGAAACAGGGATCATGGGGGCTCTGACCTCATCAATAAACCCACTAGAGATTTAGAGCTTAGTAGGCCTTAGGGACAGAGCTCGGTCGTAAAAGACAGCTGTCTTTTGCTTCCTACCACCATGAGACTAGCAGCTTAGACCCCCATGAAATGTTCCCTGGTACTTACTCTGACTCACCACAGGCCCAACAGAGCAGCTGCCAACGGACTGAAACCCTGGAAACTGTCCATCAAAACTAGTATTTCCTCCTTCTGAGTTTGTCTATCTCAAGTATTTTGTCACAGTGACACAAAGCTGACTTAGCATGTCAAGGGACTTGAAGGATACCCAGAGAGTACATTTCCTCCGCCCACCTCGTGTTGGCTTTTCAAATATGTGCTCTGGGAGGTACAGTCCTTCCAATCCTGGTTTATTCCTGTGCTGTAGGGTGTGGTTTCTCTCTATCCAGCAAATGGTGGGAGACAATGAGAACGGCATGTGTGTGTCCACATGTAGCACACAAGGTAGTAATTCCAGGAATTTTATGTATGGTAAGTACGAATGTTCACACAATATTTAATTTAATGTCTCCATATTTTTTAGTTATTCCAAACACAGAGACTATCCTTCAATTCATTTTTATTCTTTGCCCTGTTGCAGCTAAGAAACAGGGGGCCTAATTTCTTCAGATTTTACTCAAATGGTCTTTTTTTTTTTGACCAGCTACTTTCTCAGTGCTAATAAACTATAATTTACTCTTTATTATAATATTTTAAAATGTTACCTTAACCTGAAATCATTAACACGAGAACTTGAAAGAATGTTCCAAAAAAGTCAGTGAGAAGTCTAAATCTCTCTATATGATTCAGAGGGGTGCTGTTTTTTAAGTCAGTAAGAAAGTAAGACTAGAGGAATTTGTATCAATATGATGGAAGAAAATAGAAGTAAAAATGAACAATATATTTCTAGATGAACACATATAATAGTATTTTTAAAGATGCAAAAACAGGAAGAGTAACCAATTACAAAAGAAAAGAAACTTGTATATAACATATTTGGGGTTCAGAATATAGTACTAAAGACTTGAAATAATTATTTTAGGGTAAATCAAATAGACATCTAATATGTATATGGCTCAGTAGCAAAGATAACTTCTTTGATAAATCTTTCTGAAAATATATTTATATATAAAAATTACTTCCTATAGTTTTTCTCTTTTCTAGTTTAATATTTATTCAGACAGTTTTACCAACTTCAACTATAATAAAAAGACTTAATCCCCCCCCCCCCCACACACACACATAGCAACAGAAAGTGGTTTGAAAGCTTACTTCAGCGTTAGGTACATTTAAGTTCCAATTCTCCCCTCAGAGGTTAAAAGGATATACAAATGGAACATGAAGGATGGAATATTTGCTTGGAAAGGATGTGGCAGGGAAAAAAATGCCAGAGGTTAAAGGGAATCTAATTGAATCTGGCAGAACTTTTGTCGTGAGGCTCCACGGTCGAGAAAGATGCTGAGAACAATTATCATCCTTTGGGCAGCTGGAGGACGTGATCTCCGTCTTTGCTGAGTGCTAACCTCCGGATATATTCCACTCAATAAGCAGGTTTGTGCCAGTCTGCACTCCCTGCAGAATAATTGCCCAAGACATGCAAAGTAAATAAACACAGTCCTTTCCTTTTTTTTTTTTTGTTGGTGAGATGTCAGACATATTAAGGAATTTCTCTCCCTTAAGTATTTCTCTTCCACGAGCTACTTAAAACTGAATCAATCATCAAAAGATGGCCATTAGAGGGAAGTGTTCCATTTGTCAAGAGCATTATATGTGCCTTCCTACATCAGAGGATGATTTTTAAAACCTGCTGATGGAAAGAGGCGAACCTCAAGGGCAGGGACATCATCAGGACTAATGCATCCTGGAAATAAAGAACACATTGCTGGCATATCTCTATTTGCTTGCTTGTCTCTGACACCTTAAGTGATACACACCTAAGAAGGCAGGCTGTCTTTGCATGGTACCCTTTATAGTGTTAACAAACAGTACTACACAGAGATAAGAACATACATACCACTGGGCCAGGATCACCTTTTGGGCCCTAGAAGAAAAGCATAGAAATAGGTTTTAATTATTGTGAAAGCTCAGTTACAGAATCTGAAGCATTTTTCTTCAGATGCTTATTTACAAATGTGGGGATGGTACATATTTTACTTTTGCTGAAGTTTGGATTTGGAGAATAAAATTAAGAAAAATAACTTGGGCTCTAGAGGGATGGCTCAGTGGTTGAGAGCAGATAATGCTCTTCCAAAGGACCTAAGTTCAGGTCTCAGCACCCATGATGGGTGGCTCCCAACTACCTGTAACTCTAGCTCTAGGGGATCTAGCATTGTCTTCTGGCATCTACAGGCAATGCATGTGTATTCCATGTATAGCTTCACACACAGACACAGACACACACACCATTAAAAATAAAATAACTCTAAAGAAACAATATGGTGCTATTTCTATGACCATGATTGGATGTTGGTTTAGAATTTAGATTGACAATGAAAAAAAGTAAGACTGCTATGCTAAATATTTTCCATTATTGAGGTTTTATGCATTTTTTCTTTTATTCAAATTGGTTTCCCTTATTTACTCCTTCTGTAAAATTCAGTTTCATTTGTGACTTTCAGGTTTCAGTGAGCTTGAGAGATTCCCCCCATCATTATTGTCCAGCTAAAGCAACTTGAAGATAATCATCTATACTTACAGGGGGGCCCGGGGGTCCTGGGTAACTGGGAACACTCACTCCTCCCTTCAAAAGAAGAGAAAGCAGATGGGAAGAACTTATAGAAGCCTGTGAGTGGAAAGTGATCATAGGGAATTAGACATGTAGATACCTGGATTTTATATAAACTGCCCATGCCATTTCCTTCATTGACTGGGACACCCTTAGGGGAGAAATAAGAGGCAGAAGTTAGCATTTTGAATGTCAGTCATTTTACCGAATGATATTCTTCCTATATTAATTTTTACTTACGTTTTTCTATTCCATACTTCAAGTGAATTTAATACAATAAACAATATCATAGCGCTTCAATGTTTCAAAACGGGGAGACAGGGGAAAGGAACCTGTGCTATGCCCAGAGCACATGGATGTTTCCAGTTGGGGTTTGAATAGTGTTTAAGCCTGCAGATGAGGCACTAATGCATTCAGGAAAAAAAATATTATTTGCTCATTAAAATTCAGTTTCTGAATTGCCAATTTCCTGTGTTTCCAGCCTGCTGACCTGCAGGCAGCCGTGCAGCAGGGCTGATGAAGATGTGAACAGGGAACAATTTGGCCACTGCAAAGTGATGTTTTCCCACAGTCTCTTCAAACCAAACAGAAAGTGAAGGTGAGTCGGAGGACAACTTCATTCACAACCCTGTGTGGATATTTCTACAAAGACACCCTTAATAACTGGGGAATGAGAGCTTGCTCCCCTCCTCCCGGCAACAAAAAACAAAAAACAAACAAACAAACAAATTAAAACAACAACAACAAAAAAACCCTATATGTGAATATGGAGCACAAAAAGAAAACTCATTGTTCAGTTTGAAAATTTCCATCCATGTTAGCATTTGAGGGAAATGCACAAGAGACTTTCAGTTTGGAATCGCTTAGAAAGGATAACAGATCCTTAGATTAAATATCCAAGAGTGTGTTTTCATGTTTTGGTTTACATACATACATACATATATGTATACATATACATACATACATATATACACACACACATATATATGTATATATATATCTCAGATACCAAAACAAAGAAGCCATCATTTCGTTACTGCTTGGGGATAATGGTGGTGTGTCCAGCGAACACAGTTCACATGCATCTTCTAAACAGCGGTGATGGAAAAAAATGCTCTGTCTGTTTATCCTTTTATTGTTTCTTCATTCATTTGGCAATAACCGAACATGGGCTGTATTATAGTATGCTATGCCCTGAACAGATGTAAGAGACTTGAAAAACTTCTAAGAAAGTTTCCTAGAGAAAATATATAATGTGTCTCAAAAAATGAATCATTTTGGAAGAATCTAGAGACAAGAGGAAGATTTCTTAAGCCTTATAGAAAAACACAGTTCTTTTGATACATTTTTCTTTTTTACCATTGAAGTGAGGAGCATATTTTAGAAACAGAACTCCATGAAATTATTGTCTTGCTCTTTTGTGAAGGACGACTCAGATGAAGAATGTGTTTAAAAAAAGAGAGAGCCAAGCAGTTAGTTTGTGTGCAAAGTGTGCAACTGCACACACTCACAACATATGTTTTAGTTTTCAGAAAGCTACCATGCGTCTCTCTCCTCAGTTTGGCTTCTTAAATTCCTTAGAAGCAATGCAGGAAATAATGGATGTGGACCTCAGCTTTGCTGCGATTCAATCATGGCCCCACACGAGGGCAGACTTGCCACAGAGAGAGGCCTCTCTCCTCTCCACAGCTTCCCTGAAAGAGTGCAAGTCTGTGTAGACCATTCGGGCAAACATCCAGGGCTCTTGTGCATTTTTCTCGCTGCGCACCATGGAAGTAGAATTTCCTCACGTCTTAGACATCACTCATGGGGTGAACACACACAGCATCTTTGAAAGTCCAAATTGCATGGCTATAAAAGGATGTCCTTTTAAAGGCCTTTTATTTTCTGAGAAGGTATATGGTAGTCAAATGATTCTCCATCCTTGCAGGAAGTCTAGAGTCAAGCCAGTGTGGAGCCATGCATACTGATTTCATGGAAGGGTAGTTCATAATATACAAACAAATCTGAACACTACACATTGTAGCTGAGCTGAAACAGGAACAAACTAGGTTTACCTAATGCTGCATTGTCTGTCATTTACACAGACACAGACACACACACACACACACACACACATGCACGCACACACATGCACGCACGCACACAGGAAACTCAGAAGACATAACTTTGCAAGCATCTTAAGCAATGTACTTTATGAGTCATAAATACACAGAATTAAAGTTTAAACCTAAACAACTCACAGGGGGTCCAGGAGGTCCAGGTTTCCCAGGGGGTCCCTCGCTGCCCTGCAGGAGATACACAAGCCCAGATGAATGGCTTGGGCATTTTCACTCCAGATTTGTGAACCAGGTTGTTCAAAGAGCCATCTCCTAAAATTACCATGGCTGTCATGTTGCTTCAGCCTTGCATTCTTTTTCTGCCTACCTTATTCCTTGACCCGGTAAAATACATTTCCCCACTCCAGGACAGTGAATACCTGTCTTCAAGCTGGATTCTCGCTGTGTGAGCTCTAGGGAAGGACTCTTAATTTCACTGGGGATAGACAAGCTAGGTGATCTGTTCTGGGCTTTGAGTACAGTAGGGGTATTTTGTCCTTCTATGTGCATATGGGGAATAGGGTAGAGCTCATGTGTAGATTGCAGGCACTGAATGTGGCTCTCTGGACCAGCCTTCACTCTTGGCTTCACCTCCACCACCTTCAGCCTTTTAGAACCAGAGAGAGCATTCTAGCAAATTTAACCAAAGTATCAAATCACAACCTTTGCCATATCTGTTGGTTAATATCTAACTTGACACCTGAGTGAGACATGTCTTACTGAGACATGGAAGCTACTTTGGTATGATGCTGTTTTAGGGAAATGGTCTCTTAATTTAATTTATTGCTACAATTTCAATAACCTTAGGTTTCTGCTTATAGGAGACATAAATTTAAAAAAACAAAAAGGGACTACAATAATTGCTTACTATGGAACAACAACTATTCTGTGATTTTGAACTGAAACTTGAAAACTGATTTCTACTAAGCACAGAATCCTTACCAGTTCCTAGTAAGCAATTATTGCAGCCCCCCTGGCGTCTCGCCAGCTGTTCCTATAAGTGAGCATTGTTTGTAGAATGGTGTCTTTCATAGCATGCTCTATGCTGTGTTTATCAGGGACAGTGACAAGACATGGTTAATTGGCAGAGCACCCAAAGGGACTAACACCCACTGTCCAGGAATTCTGAGGGATGTTACTCCTCTTCCAGAATCCGGCTGAAGATTTTATTTCAACACTCCTCTGTTTTCCAATAACAAAGGGAAACATCACAAATCACAATGTATTTATCAATACAAATAAACTGTAAAGTCTCTCACGCAATGCACCGCCTGAGAAAGCATGCACTGAGTAAGCATGCTGTATCTTCCCCAAACTGCTCTGATGGCCGCTGTCTCCCTAAGACACCCCTGTGTTCTGCTGACTGCTGGCAATGTCCTTTAGAGCATTACATCACAGTTCTCATGAGTCAACAGTGTGTGCCTATTGAGAATACTTCTTTTCTTTCCTCCTGGCACAATTAGAAGTCATATTCTCATTTGTGCCCTCAAGCTCATTTCGCTGTGGAATTCCCATTAACTTCAAAGGCCAATCTAGGACATAATCATTTTCATAGAAAATAGAGAAGAAAAAAAAAAAAGGCTGGTGGAGTGGAGAAAGATTCTTGAGATATTAACAGGACAAAAATGTGCTGTGGCTCTCTAGAACAAGCACATTGTTTCATTTAAGTGTCCTGGGGATGTTTTACTCCTTGACACCACCATGCTCCATTTTGCTCAGGGAGCTGGCATCCTGGCAAATGTGCAGGAGATGCTTAAGTAGCTTATGTGGTCCCTTGGCACTTATTTAATTAATCTGAATACTTTTAACTATTTCCCCATTTGTTAAGGCTGTGCCTGGACTGTCATTGCAAAGCCACTTTCAATCTTACACCAGGACAGCTTGAAACACTCCTGTGCTGTTGGTCTTCCCTCCCAAACACAGCACATACGTCCAGCTGGGAGCTGTGGTAGTTAATCTTCATGGTCGAGTGGATGAGATTTAGAATCACCATGGAAACATACCTCTGGGTGTGTCTGTGAAGACATTTCCAGAGATGTTTAGCAGAGCTGGGGAAGACCCACCCTGCATGTGGACATCGTTGTCGCACCGGCTAGAGTCCCGACTAAATAAGAGAGGAGAGCACCAGCATTCACCTCTTTCTGCTTCTGCCTGCAGAATCAGTGTGACCTCAAGATCTCCTCCTTCCATGACCTTGCCAGTGTGATGAACTGCAGCCTCCAAATGTAAGCCAGAATAAACCCTTCCTACTTTTGGCTGTTTTCTCGGATGGTTTGAAATAGCAACTAAAGTAACCAACATACTCTTCTTCCCAAGGAGCATGTTTTTAGTGAATTCCTACTGTGGCCTTCTAGGGACAGCATTTCCAGATTGTCTCATAAGACCTTTGGTTATTGTTTATTGTCTTTACAGCCAGTAAGGCATCTGGAGCCAGAGAGCTTGTTCAGAATGTTTGGGAACTTCTCCCCCAAACCTATAGCATGAATCCAATTCACAGGGTGATGAATTAGATGGGCCCTTTGGGAGACAGTTAGGTCACAGGGTGGGACTTTCGTGAATGGGATCAGTGCCCTTATAAAGAAGCCCAAGGGAGCTGAGTTACAGTTGAACTTCACAAGGACTCATTTAGAACATGCCCTTTGTGAACAAGAAGATGGGCCCCGCCAGCTGCCAAACCCATCAGTGCTTTGGCTGGGAACTTTGAGACTGTGTGAGATGCGGTTTAGAGCCAATTTATAATATTTTGTTATAAAAACCTGAAGAGATGAAGGCTGAGCCGTAGCTGGAGCTCTCTGATCCATTCCAATCCATCTTATCTACCTATGTCTCTTTAGGAGACTTGGACCAGTCACCTTTCCACTTGGACGGATGTTCGAGCCTCTGCATCCAGTTTGGATTTTCTATACCCCACCCCTGTGTCCTCTCATCTTACTTTCCCCTAGGAACACACCTCCTGTGTTCAAACCCACTCTTAGACCAGCATCTTTACCACTGCACCTCATGAATAACCACTTCCCAACACCATTTGCTCTTGTTGACTGCTCTTTTTTTCCCTCCACTTTTGTTTATTAAGAAATTTTCTACTCACTCTACACACCACCCACAGATCCCACCTCCTCCCTCCTCCCTCCTCCCATCTCCCAGCCCTTCCTCCCAAGCCACCCCACATCCCCACATCCCCCAAATCAAGGTCTCCCATGGGAGTCAGCAGAGCCCGGCACACTGAGCCTAGGCAGGTCCAAGCCCCTTCCCACTGTACCAAGGCTGTGCAAGGTGCCACACCACAGGCACCGGATTCCCAAAAGTGTAGGCTGCTCTTGGCAGCATGGATCTCTCATTAAATGGTCCCCCCTTAACCCTAACCCAGGCCTCATTTTCCTCTGTACCTTGTCACCTTTTGCTCCAGTGGGACCAGGGTGTCCAGTTCTTCCTGTTAAGCCCTGTGAAATGGACAGCTGAGTTTGTTATAGAACCAACAAGTCAATGGTCAAAAGGTGTTGGGAGGTGGTTGCTAAAACTTACCCATTTCAAAGGTCATTTGATCCTAATTAAATCAGTTCTACAAGCTTATATTTCTTCGGGCTGATACAGCAGCTGTATTCTCCTGATAAGCCTTTGGAAGGGTAAAATTTCTGTCTGTGGGTTTTTTTCACCTTGGCCAACCACATTTAATGACCTTAATTGGAACCTTTTGACACACTTAAGAATTTAGTCTTGTTGTTTAAACGGCAATTTACATAACATTATGTCTTTCTAAATGAGGTATAATTTTGGTAGCGATCAACATTTTAAATACTCTAAGACTGGGCAGAATTAACAATGTGCATATTGAGTTATGTGATCTGTGTTGTTAAAGGGAAAACAAAAAATAATTTTAATTCCTTTTGGAGAATAGAATTAGCAGTAATTCTTGTGGTTTCTTTACCAGTTCTCTTTCATACTTTTAAGTTATACTATATAGGTTTGTTTGACATGCTGAGGGGCAGGCATAAATGAAAAACTTTTAATTATGGCAAACCCGTGTTTCAAAACATTAGGGAATGATCACACTCTTATTTAAGAGATAAAAATAACTTACTGGCATAGAACCTTTAAGAGGAGGAAGAGACAGAGAAGTAAAGATATCAACTGGGTGGAATTAATTTAGCAAGGAAAACACATTGTTTGGGACCAACTTATACAAACATTGTTGGTCTGAAACTCAAGTGTGATTGTGTGTCCTGTGTTTTATCTGGCAACTGAACTTTAGGATTGCTTAGAATTAAACACTAAATAAGAGATTGGGTTTGGCCGGTAGGAACTGATAACAGATTCTGTTCCAGGAAAACAAGATAACCCAAAGGCCATATTGCTGTGCTCAAGGGGCAGTGAAACAGATTTTTTTAAAATTCAGATATAGGAATAAAGCAAATTAAAGCTGATAATCTTTGGCCTGTTATTTTTCTTTAGAAAATTCTCAGTTTATGTCGCATCTGAATCTCTCTTCCAAGGTTAGTACCAAAATTTATCACTAAGGGGAGAATGCACTTGTGTAGCCACCCAGTTTCTGTTTCCAATAGAGTGGGAGGATGCTCTTTGGCTTGGCAAAAATTCTGACAAGAAGTCTCCAGGACACTAAGCAGGCTTAACTAATCTTAGATGAAAGTGGAGGTGCTGAGGGAGGCTGTTTCTAGGCAATGGCTGATCTACAAAGAGATATGGAACATAGAAGGCACCAGGAATATTATTAATACACCTTGTAGCATGTCTACAGGTATGACCTGTGAGGAGAATAGTCTTATCGAATACTTACAGGGGGTCCAGTTGGGCCAGGAGCTCCTGAGAGGCCAGGAATTCCTTGAAGACCCTGAAAGAAACAGTTCCCATCATAAAGTTTATTGTCAGGAACAAATAATTTTTGCAATTCAAATATTTTTATTATTGAAAATTAATCATAGAATTTAACTAATCGAGAAACTTAATATGTACAACCTATAAATATCTACTTAATTTAAAAAGTTATCTGTATGGTGTTTGTCTAGATGTATGTCTGAGTACCATATGTGTGCCTGGTGTCTTCAGAGGCCAGAGGAACTGGAGTTACAGATAGTTGTGAGCCACCATTTGGGGGGCTGGGAATAGAACCTGGGTTTTCTGGAGAGCAGAAAGTATTCCAAGACATCTGAAAGACCAGAGACATCTCTCCATTTCCTAAATATTGACTTCAGACAGTAAGGGTGATAAGCTAAAATGCCATGGCATGGAGTCTGTAACAAAGGTAATTTAATCTGGTGATTCATAGACCATTTCTGATGTTCTACACCCACCAACCAGCAGTAGCATCATTGAGAGCTTTATACTACTAAAAGCTGGAAGTACAGGCTTTGGGTTGGTGCAGTGCCAGTAGAGATCCCCCTGGTATCTGCAGCAGCGTTTTCTAGTAACACATAAACACATAAATACTTCCACAGCAGAGTGTGATGTTCTGATAGAATGGAGAACACAGACCAGACCCATGTGAGTTTTTGTCAGAGTTGGCTGTCAGGTGCATTTACTGCCAACCCTAGTGAGTTTTCCAGGATTTTCAGAGGTTTTCTAGGGTTTGGATTGTGGGCCATGCATAATACTATCATTACCACCTCAGGGTGTTGTGGAAACAGGTATGAGTTTTAGGATTTTTATGGTTCTTGAGTCTTTACCAATTTTTCTATAGGCTGTTTAGATCACTTTTTAATGAGAGAAAATAAATTAGTCACCCCTTTATGGTTTCAGATTAACATGAAATGCGTCAAGTTCTAGACTGAAAGGCTGGGGTTGTAGCTCAGTGGTACAGCACTTGCCTAGCGGTCACAAAGCTCAGGCTTTGTTCTCCAGCAGTGTAAATACCAACCAACCAAATAAGCAAGCAAGTGATCAAACAACAAGACCCAACTTCTGGATGGAATGGTCCCATTCTTTCAAGATTTAATCTCCTTTATCGGATAAAGTATTCTTTTTACACTGCTTTAATGTTATTTATTTTCAGAGAACTCCTCCTACCATTTTTAAATGATAAATTTTTACACTTTTAAAAAGGGACTGTGAAATGACTCTGGTAAAGTGGCTGCATCTTTTATGAGACATCAACAGGATCGATCTGGATCATGGTTCTTTGTACCAATAGGCTTAAGAACAAGCTCTGTGTGTCTAATACCAAATGAGACCACATGTCATGAAGTGCTGTGGTGGTTTGAAAGAGAATGGCTTCCAGGGGCTCATATATTTGAATGCTTGGTCCCTAGTTGATGGGTAGTGGAACTGTTTTGGAAGGATTAGGAGGATTGGCCTTGTTAGAGGAGGTGTGTCACTGGGGGTGGGGTTTGAGGTACCAAAAGTCCATTCATGTCAAGTCTTCCTCTCTCTGCCTTGTGCTTGTAGATGATGAGCAAGCTCTCAGCTACTGCTCCAGCACCATGCCTGTCTGCCTTCTGCCATGCTACCCACCATGATGATCATGGACTTACTCTTTGAAGCAGTAAGCAAGCCCCCAATTATGTTTTTTTTTTTAAGTAGCCTTGGTCATGGTGTCTCTTCACAGTAATAGTAACTAAGACAGGGATGATGTGAAGAAGAAATAATCCAAGAATCTCCTAGAGTGTGCTGGAATAATACATCTTGGGAAAAGTCTTTGTGTATTTGTTTTAAAGAACATAGTTACTCTTTCTTCAAGATTGTATCAACCCTTTTGGCTTACTGTATGTATGCACATATGCATACATGTGCAAGTATGGCCCATTCATGTTACTATGATGAACTGACTCTCTTCATTTTCCTGTCATTACTTTTACGAGTTTATAAACAAATTTATAATTTTGTAAGCGGAAAGGAAAATTTTCCATTGGGAATTGTACTTTTCAACGACTGAAGCTTATGCACATGTATCATAAATTTCTTTATCTTAAAACATCTACATTTCCATATTTTTCTGCATGTACCTGTTTCAGATATGCATAAGCATATTTCTTCCTCATTTTGCTACTTTAAGTCTCAACTTTGAGTCAGCCAAGAGACGCTGAATGAGGTTTTAGGTTGTCTAATTTGTAAGCATGGGACTCATTAACCTTTGATGGCTGCATTAAACTTTAAAATAGACCCCGCTACATAAGTAAAAAGCATGGCTCTCATCAGTCTCTCTCTCTCTCAGCTCCCTGAAATTGTGTAATAAGAGTGAAAGGTGCTATGGAGGCCTAAAGGGCGATAAGACGATTTTGTAAGACAAGATGGCCATTAAAAAAGACAGACATTCAAGACTAAGTCAAGTTAAGCACATAGTGCCCAATTCAAACACAAATTAAAATCTATTGCATAGGTATTCAGCCGCCATTTGTATACTTTATGGCGAATGGTATTTTCATGTCCCGCTTGTCATTTATTATCGTAAAATATTATATGGAGACATAAAGTTCAAAAAAGAATTTTCCCTGGCTAGGAAGGGCAGGGCTTGTGCTCTGTTAGCACTTTTACACGTTGATGCTGAGTCATCCGACACATGTATGCGAAGAACCTGGAGGAAGCCACTTTTCAAAGAACGACAAATGAGTGATTCCTCTAACTTAATAAATTTAATGGAAGATTATAAAGCTAGAGCTCTAAAAGATTTGCTCTTCCCTGTGTACCTCTTCTGCTGAATGCATGTTTGTTAAGAGAGTACAGTCTGTTGGCTAGTTGGTTAACATTTTATTCACTTAAACAAATCCACAAGGTATGTAACTAAGGTATTCTCTGAGTCCAAGTAGATAATGCAATTATGTTTGCTGTTATTGATCTGTGTGGAAGACAAAAGGTATACTGCCTTGTTCCTTTCAAAAGGCTGGACTGAGTCAGTATGTTGGGCCAGGTTTATTCATATTATGCTTATGATGTGGAGGACAAGGGAAAAGAGCCTCCCGAACTCGAGTCCTCTGCAGAATTTTGTGTGGTCCATGTCAAAGAGTACACAAAGTGTACCTAAGAAAGAACACACTAAAATATCAATGAATAGTAACCATGGGTTCAGCTCACCAAGACAGCAAAATACCTCACAGAACCAATAAAATTTAAGGTCTAGTGATTTTAACAGAGTCACTTACAAAAAGCTCAAATTGCGATTATTTCTCAATCTTTTTTTTTTTTATTACCTTCTCATTTGCCTCTAAAGCCCACGTCTTGAATCTGCCTGCCTGTTAAAGCCCATTACTGTGTTTATATTTTACTGAAACCTTCTGTGGAACTCCAGGAAGCAAAAGCTCATTAATTCTTACTTGTTTTCAAATACAAAAATGCCTTTAATGTTTTATTTATAAATGAAAATAAATGTCGTATTTCTTATTCTTTAATTTTTAACTTGGAAAACAATCCCAAGCAAATCTTAAAGGTTTCTAGAACACAATGAATATCAATAAAAACAATAATAAATGATGATAACTTGTAATGTGAAATACAGTTCTAACCAGGAAAATAGATCTATTTTATAGTGTCATCATTTCCCACACAACCATCAAGGTTAATATATGCCAGATGGCTTTCTTACTTTCATTAAGAACTATTAGCACCCAAAACAGTTTAAACTAACAGCAATTCATCATTCTAATTGGTTTTTCTAAGAGTTAATGTGAATTATGCAGGGCAAGAATGATATCCTGAGCATCACTGTGGCTTACAGTCAGAAAATCACACATTGTCTCAAAAACACATTTGAGCTGGGTGCTTGGTCCTGGGGTGGGTGAGCTGTTGACCTGAACTAGTCTGCATAGATCCTTAGCACAGTTTATTTCTCCCAAGTGGTTGGAAGCCGAGCAGAGACATAGAGAAACCAAAATTGTTAACATTCAATCACAGTATAGAGTTATCCCCTGGTTCTTGGCTGGGCTCTGGAGCTGCCCTTAACTGTATGCTTGCACAGTGTACATAGGCTTGCATGGTATATTCTTCCCACCTCTTTGCTACCCTGAGATTTCTGTTTGTGAATTCACTCTTCTTTCTTTTCTTGTGAGAACTAAGATAATTACCTGCTACCTGAAAATGGAAACCCCATAACTTTCATATTAATTATTAGCCTTAATTTTGTGTCTCCACATCCAGACCACTGGAGATAAATGTGCATCTATAATTACCAAAGTGTGTTATTTTAAAACATCTAACTATACTTGGTTTCCAATGGTCTTAGTATCAAACATGCATTAGTGAAAACTCAGTGTCTTTCCTTCATTGAATCAAGTAGAGAGAAGCAGCAGCTGACTGTTTTATCAGAGAATCTCTTACCTCATCGCCTTTCTCCCCATGAACTCCAGGGTATCCCCGCTCTCCTTTGCTTCCCTAAAAAGACAGTAGCTTCAGCTGATGCCGGACCATTTCAGTATTGTTTGAAACAATAGAAATAATCTCCCATCAGAACACTTGGGGTATGTCATTTGGACAGGGTCAGGGAATAAACCAATAGCACCATCTGCAAATGGCCTTTGCCCCCACATTGCCAAAGTAAGTTTCATACGGAGTAGTGCATTTTAAATGGGATTCTCTACTTTTCATATAGCTGAGAATCTCAAAGAAGACTTCCTTACCTTTGGTCCCTCTCTGCCTGGGACTCCTGGAGGACCCCGTGGCCCTACATCGCCCTGGAAGACAGAGGA